GTGGTCCCCACAATGCCTAAGAACAAGAACAATACCAAAAAAAAAATCTTAAGGTCTTTAGGCAGCTCTGAACATAAATTATCTGACTTGCTCACTGTTTACTCAGCTGGATGAACAAACACAGCATCTCTTTTGGTTCTCCTGCTCTGATCTAGTGCCTTCCCCTTCCACACTAAGGACCTGAATCAAGCAGCAGTGCAGTGACATCAGAATGGTCCTTCTGGGTTCCACTGAAGCCTGAAGAGTCTTGCACGCAGCAGAAGTGACCAATCTCAACAGATTTACTGCAGGCAAAGAAGGCCCCTCACAGGGAAGGCAAGCAGCTGAAAAAACGAGTGACGATGCTGTGTTTTCTGCTCCAGTTCCTTTTCCACAACATTTTCGTGGGAGTCAGTCACCAATGAAAGACTAATTCTGAAGAGCACAATCTGCTTCCTTCATGTCCCACCTACGGTACAGTTGTTCTGCTCACAACTGAAGAAGGGATTTTTCAAAACCTTCATGGTGAGGCAGAGTATTTCAAGCAGAAGAATTCCGATGTGAGTGAGCCTGGATGCTGTGGTGCTTCCCCAAACTGCTCAACAAGGGATGCTATTGTCTTTGACAGCTCACTCTACACAGTTTGTCACATTTTAATAAAGTGTTCTGAAAGGAGATGACAGAAAAATGAAAACTTAAATTCTATAAATGAGACTGAAATGTACTGATCGTGTTTCTCAGCGCCATCTCAGAAAACTAACAGTTTTTCATACACCCTATAATATCTAAACTCCAGGTTACTGGTGATCCACTCTGTCAATTTCTGATCACCAAGTCTAATGATTTTGTTAAGCAGATGCCCACTTACAAATCTCAAAATGCCTTACTTCAAGTGAACTACTAGTCATCTTCACAGGCTGCCTTCAAAGCTGTGTACTGAACTGGAAGTACTGACTCACAGGAGGACAAAAACAAGGAGGACAACCTTGCTCAAGCTGCTTTTCTCTACAGTTATAAGAGATCAAAAATAATTTACAAAAAAATGCCACTCCAACCTTTCACCTCACAACAGAAACTTCAGATACAGAGTGCTCCAAAAAATATTGAAGTTACGTGATAGCCTCGAACACCAATATGCAAATACAGGCTTGTGGCAAACTAAACCCCAAAATTATCATATTTCCTCCCAACATGTATTGGCCTTTCCATTAGCACATACCCACCAGTGACACAGCTAACCTACATGAAGCTTTTTGTCCTCTATTCCCCCAGTCACCATGCTCTGGCAGGGCAGGGCAGGGCAGGGCAGGTACATGTCAAACCTCTTGAGGAAGCTTCTGCTGAATCCTGCACGTGAAATACTTTTCTGTTAAGAAGTTCAGAGAGCTCCTGTTTAACTGTTACAGGTAAATAAGAATTAGAGCATTTAAGAACTTCTTTGTCCAATTTACAAAAAAAGCAATTTAGGCAACAAAACATATCTCTAGTCCATTAATACAAAATCCCACAAGATCACTTAGGGAGTCCTCAATTTTGTTCATTTTTAGTGCAGGCAATTGTACACCCATACTAAAACATGCTACTTGTGGCCAAATCTCCCTTAAGGTTCAAAAGACTCTTTATATATAAAATTTATCAAGAGTTCACAAAATTTAAAGATACAAAAACTATAAAGATCACTTTTCTGTTGAAATTCCTATATAACAGGTTATGAAATAAATACCGCACCAAGCCTACCAATTTGAGAGCAGAATGACAGCACCAGTTTTACAAAAACGCCCTGTCACAGAGGGGAGGAGAGGTGGTGTGCAGGCAACTATGAAAAAAATTAATTATGAAGAAAGGTACCTCTATCCTTGCTCTTACAATCCCAACACCCCAAGAAAAGGTCAGCACTCAAATACAGCTAGTGTTTTTTGGAGCACATGCAGAAATAAATTCTTTAATCCAATTAGTAAACACTGCCAGAAGGGAAGAAGGCTGGGTCAAGCACACCTTGTGATTTCTGTGTAAAACACCTGTTACAAAACTATTACAGGTAAGTAACACATTTTTCAAAAGTTTCAAGAAGTGAAAATTCAAATACTATCTCCACTCTCTGCAGTGGGCAGGTATTTCTGTAAAGGTTTTGTTTGCTCTCACCAGTGAGATGCCTGCTGCCAGCCAGGACAGGTGTGCTGGAACTATAAAATGAGAACAACAAACTGAACTTTAAACAAGAATATCAAAGGGATAAGGAGCTTAAAAATAAAGACAAATGAAGAATATGCACAACCCATACTGAGACCTGCCTTCACAGATTAGGAACAGACAGCACATCAGAACCAACATTGCTGGTTTGACATTATCTTCTTCCAGTGGCCAAAAAGAGACAAAAAGACCTTTTATTACCACAAACACAGCAATGGTTTTCAAAAACAGTCTTACACCAACTCCCTGAAAATCTATGACGGATTATAGTGTTGAAAAATTTGCTCAATATGAGAACACTTTGATGACTTTGTCCCTTTCCTCTGTTTTAAAAAAAAAAAAAACCCCAGCATACCTACCCAAAAAATCAATTTATAGTAACTCATTGTTTCTACCATAATTTAAATGGACAGCTGGGTTGGATATGACACAAGTCAGACTAAACACAGATTGATTTAATAAATCAAGTAGCTTCAATATGGAAGGGATGCTAAGATTACTGTTACACATAAGTATTTCCTCCCTACTTCATTATCAGACGTAAGTAACACTTTCCTAAAGGCCAAAGTAATGTTTCAAAAAGATAATTCAAACACCATTTAACCTTCAAACAGATGCTCAGATGTTCATTAAAAGGCCTGCATTTGTTTCAATATTGGTATATTCTGTTATATGTAAAAGCTTATACAACTGTTTTGGTATCTGTGCTCTTCCACAGTTTGGGCATTAACTGTATTTCTGCAACAGGATTATTTGTCTCTGCTTTTGAAGTTTCTCACAGCTGAAGATCTAACTACAGCATAAAAGAGCATGTTATACAGAAAGACAGTAATCATTTTATACTATATTACACATCATTATTTACTATATTATACAACATTATTTACATTAAAAATATTATATTAATATATTATATAAAATATATTACCTATCTTCAGGATCTACTGTAAATTCAGTTATACTTGCCAGGGTGTGGGATTACTTCAAGGTGCAACAGACTTTCCACTCTAGAGAATACACTTTGAAAAATACTGTTAAAATCATTAATCAACTACTGTGGCATCAGTTCAGCAGCCACCAAACATGATTTCTTACTTTTAGTGATTTTTGTCAGTCATCAGCATGCCAAAACATCTTAAGGTCTTAAAAACACAGCATGTCAGAAAATGCCAGAGGGCAGGGACAGATTTTGGCATCTTGGGCAGGAATTGCTGGCTGGCAGGGTGGGCAGGCCCTGGCACAGGGTGCCCAGAGCAGCTGTGGCTGCCCCTGGATCCCTGGCAGTGTGCAAGGCCAGGCTGGACAGGGCTTGGAGCAGCCTGGGACAGTGGAAGGTGTCCCTGCCCATGGTAGGGGGTGGCACTGGGTGATCCTTTAATGTCCTTTCTCACCCAGACCAGTCTGGGATTCTGTGATCTCTGAATCTTCCTCTTATTCTGATAAAACCACTGGAAGGAAGCACCAAATCTACCTGAGTTTAGCAGTAACTTCCTACAAGTACTTTTTTTACTAATTTAGCAGGAAATATGAGGGATTAGAAGCTCTGCTAGTAAAATATCAGCATGGGACTGTAAGAGGAGGAGCTGAGGGATGCTCCAGCCAGGTGACAGTGCTGCGCTGGGTCCATCATTCCCGGGCTGTCCACGGGCCTCTGCTGATGCAGCAGCAGTGGGAAGAGAAAACAGCCCATGGAAATGACAGCAGGAGGCCCTCCCAAGCTCCTGGCAACCTAAGGAGAAATGGCAATTTTCTAGTCAACCCAGCTGGAGCACCTCGAACGTTTTTCGGTTGGGAATTGACACAATGTGGGATTACACAACCCTGCGTTGGGACACCGGACCCAACCACCCGGGAGCCTCCTTCCACTCCCCTGCACTCCAAAAGTGATCCCTGATGGAAATATCAACAGCTTACTTACTTCTGCAAATACCTACAACGAGTAAAACTGCAGCTCAGCACATTATCCCTCAGCACAGGAGAGGGAAAAAATTAGATTATGGCCCCACAAACTCCCTCTGCCCAGCACAGATTAAAAAGAATAAATAAATAAACAAACAGTGCTTGGCATGAAGGCATATGAAGTAATGCAAAGCCCAACAACTAAGGTGAGATACCAATTCAATTTTAAACTAAAATACACCTCACTTTTGATAAATATTGTCATTCATAAGAATAAAAACAGTGTGGTAGGAGTGAGGAGGCAGAGTGAGCCCCAGGAGATCTGAGATGCTGCAGAGGAACAGAAAAGCCTCCATCAAGAACAGGAGGGAAAATAAATAAATTTATCATCTAGCCATGAACAATAAATATCTTTAAGAGCACGTAAGAAAAAACCGGGTATAAATCTCCGGCTTTCCAGTTCTGGGCGCATTTAAAGGGACACAGGGACATCCCAGGGACCCTGAGGGATCGCTGGATCCCTGCAAAGGAGCACTCAAGATCTGGTTAAAGGGACACAGGCACATTCAGGGAACCCTGGCAGGGATCCCTGGATCCCTAAGGGACACAAGGACATCCAGGGGACCCAGCGCGGGATCGATTCCTGTATCCCGAAGGTACACCGGTACAACCCGGGAACCCTGCGAGGGATCCCGGGAGATGCCCCAGCCCGGGCGGGGACACGGCGGGTGCCGGTGCCCCGGCAACTCTCCGCAGCGCCGGTGTCGAATTACGCAAGGCACCCCTCCATCTATCGCGACACAGGCCCGGGCCACGAGGGGACGGTGACGTCGGGGCAACCGGGGGATCTCGGGGGCCCCTTTCGGAGCCTGCGGCCGCCGGGTCCACCCGTCTGCCATGCCCCTTGAAGGCACCGCCGCGGCCGCGCTTACCGTCCGTGCCCTGGGCCCGAGGTCGGTGGCGGTGTCGGTGGACGGGTGCCTCGGCCCGTGCCGCTCCCGGGTCCCCTCACGGCCCCTCACGGTCCCCGCCCGCCTCCACGTCGCCGCCGCTGCACCGTTGCGCATGCGCGAGGCCTGCACGGGTCTACTGGCGGGGCACCACGGGAGTTGTAGTTCGTGACGGGCGAGGCGGCCATGACACCTCCGGTGCCCTGGGCTTGATCCCCAGCGTGGGCAGCAGGGCAGAGGGGATTCTGCCCCTGTGCCCTGGGCTCAGGTGAGAGTCCACTTGCAGAGCTGCCCCAGCCCTGGCTCCAGCAGCACAAGGACGTGGAGCATTCTGATTCTGTACTCTGCTTGCCACATTTTCAGTGGGACATGAGGTAAGCCCAGCAAATGGGACCAACAGTGAATGTCTGAGGATGGGAGGATTTATCAGGCCCCGTCCTGCCCTTGTGCTGCTTTAAATCATTGTTTCTCCAAGGATAACCTCCAAAGTGGGGTGTGTGCAGGTTCCACGGTACCCGTGGGCTCACTGAGAGGGCAACCCTTCCCAGTGTATTCCTGAGTTTATTCCCACATTCCACTAGGTGTGTGACAGCAAATCCCCGGCCGGGCTCTCACCCATCCCTGTCCCTGCGCTGTGCGTGCCAAGAGCAGCTCTGCAAACAGCAGCAGTGGGGTGTAACCCTGGGCAAACACTGCCACGTTACAGCAGCAGTGCTGCTCCGGGGCTCGGCCCATGCCCACACAGCGCTGGCCGGGAATGGCTGCGCCCACACAGCGCTGGCCGGGAATGGCTGTGCCCACACAGCCCTGGCTGGGAATGGCTGTGCCCACACAGCGCTGGCTGGGAATGGCTGTGCCCACACAGCGCTGGCCGGGAATGGCTGCGCCCACACAGCGCTGGCCGGGAATGGCTGTGCCCACACAGCCCTGGCTGGGAATGGCTGTGCCCACACAGCGCTGGCCAGGAATGGCTGCACCCACAGGAGCGCTCCGGGGCTCGGCCCGTGCCCACACAGCCCTGGCCGGGAATGGCTGCGCCCACAGGAGCGCTCTGAGGTTCGGCCTGCACCCACACAGCCCTGGCCGGGAATGGCTGTGCCCACACAGCCCTGGCTGGGAATGGCTGTGCCCACACAGCCCTGGCCGGGAATGGCTGTGCCCACAGGAGCCCTCCGGGGCTCAGCCCGTGCCCACACAGCGCTGGCCGGGAATGGCTGTGCCCACAGGAGCGCTCCGAGGTTCGGCCTGTGCCCACACAGCGCTGGCCGGGAATGGCTGCACCCACAGGAGCGCTGCGTGCTCAGCACCACGGCTGGGAAACACCCTCTGCCAAAATGCAGACGTTCTGTAGAGCAATCCCCGTGCCGGAAACAAGCATTGCTGAAGAAAAGTGAGGCAAGGAGACTGGCTCCTTTTGGACGCCTTTATGAAGTGATCAGCTCTGGGTGGGGGCCCGAGGAGCCGCGCACACCGCCACTGCTCCCTTGGGTGATGCAGAGGAGGAGATGGACAGTTTTGCTTCACAGCAGAACTGGAACTTCCATCCTCATGGGTGTGCCTAGGAAGACATTTTCTGGCTCATCGTCTAGGGTCCTCATTCTGACCCAGTTCTAGTAGGTCACGGTGACATCTGAAACCTTGCTGGTTGGGCAGGAGGACTTTTTGCTAGCAGGACACTTTATTTAGTTCCTTAAATCTTCAGTTAGTTCGTCATTTTTAGGGTCTTTTGTTGGATTTTCTGAGTATCTCTTAATTTGTGTATTTCCCAGGGATGTTTCCAGGCACCATTTTGGGGAACAGCGGAGGCAGTACCTGACAAGTGTATCAGTAAGGTGAGGGGATTAACAGTGGGGGTAACTTAAAGGTCTAACATTTAACAACAATTTAATTAACACAATTAACTTGTTGTAATTAATATTAACAGCTCTAATTGCATTAACTTATAAACTTGTATTAACTTATAAACTTGTATTAACTCATGAACTTGTTCATAACATTGCTATGCCTATAAACACTTCTATTCACAGCATGTCAATTTATGTTTTGCTATCATCCCAAGCCCAGGTTGGACAGGGCTTGGAGCAGCCTGGGATAGTGGAATGTGTCCCTGCCCATGGTAGAGGGTGTGACAGGATGGGATTTAAGCCCCATCCAACCCAAACCATCCAGTGATTCTGAAACAATGAAATAAAGATACAGCACTATTATCTAAAACCATTTCCAATGCAAAAGAATCACCATGGCAAACATGGCCTTCTAGAGCTTTTCAATTAAATTACTGCAGCCAGGTTCACTGAAAACAGGAATAATGGCAGTCTGTTACAACCAAAATATGATTTGGTTCAGCAAGCACTGCTCTAACAATCAGAAAACTGCACAAAGATAATCCCTTCTTTCATGTCTTAGGCAGTTTAATGAAACAGTTATTTCTCACAGAAAGAGATTTTAGTTAACCTGAGTGTAAATTAATTTTTTCTTCATTTCCTTCACCTGCAACCTCTGCAGCCACTGTTCTTTCAGCAATAATGTTCTCCATCGTACAGAAATCATGAAGGAATGACCCTCGGGACTGAACCTCAGCAGCTCCCAGACTTCAGCTGGGGCATGGTTGCTGCATCTGGGCAATAACAGCATAATGTGTTACTGTCATTAGATCAAAATTTGACTTTATTTTCAGTTTAGACATTCTTAGCAGCTGATCATGTGCAGTTTAACATGACAGAATTTCCTTTCCTGTCAGGATCAGACCATCAAAATAATCAGCAACATAAAATTAATTAATTTTATTTAAGAATTTTTTGCATACACTTGCATTTTTTGAAATGTGTTTTTCAACTAACTTCTTGGCATCCAGCAATTTGTGCAAACCAACACACAGAAGGTACCACATCCCATTAAGACCTTCTCATTAAGAAAAAAAAATACTTGAAATTAATTTATTTGAATGATTTTTTTTCAAATATTGATTTATTGATCTTTCCTCAATAGTATCTAAATAAAGCCAGACAGGTTTAATGATTAAGAACTTAGGACTAGATTTGCAGTACTTTGGTCCCCTAAAGATGCCAACTCTGAAATTTTCTAAAAGTCTTCAGTGCAAATGAAGCTGCTATGTGGTCTAGGAAATTCTGGTACATGTCCACGTGCCACCATCAGGTGCCCAAACCTTTTGTAAATCTTGTTTTTAGCAAGTGACAAGCACATGGGAATTTTCTCAGTTAAATTCAACTCACTTGATCAATATTATTCCGTCACATGAGGATTTCCTTAATTTCTGCCTGCTTGTTTTTCTTAAAGAAGGATTTGTGCACTCCTTTGCGTCCCAGCAGATGGTCTCACGCACTCTGGCCCAGACTTGGGCCTTTGCTTTCACCCGAGTTTTATTTAACTGTTCACAACACAACAGGATTATTGACCTATTCTTGAAAAAGAATAGAGGCAGAAGAGTTATAGCACAAATCTCCTGACAGGACTTCCAGTGAAGTGCCTCATACAGAAAGTTTTGTGATGTAGATTGCTCCCTTTAGGGTTTAACTGCAGCTAATAAAAGCAGTGGAACACGATTCCAGAGACCATAAACGTGTAATCTTACTTGCATTATCTGCCTGTTTTCGTTTTTGCAGATTTTTCAGAAGGCCTAGTGTTTAAATATGGTGCTGGCACACAGCTGGAAGCCTGGTGCAGCCTGTAGCATAATTTACTATACACTTTATTTTCTGTGTTATTGTTCAATACATTTTCTTCTAATAATATTCTAAATAACTAAAAAAAAATAATTATGCAGACTTCATAAATTGACTGAATACATTACCAAATTAAAGGAGCCCCAGTAAAGCTCTTACTCTACTTTTTATTGTGTTCCCATCTGTTTAGAGGTGGATATACTCTAAAACTATGGCCTGTTTATGAAATGCCCAGCATATTAAAACAGCATGGAAGGGACAATCTCTTCAGCAATGCTCAGGATGACAGAACACATATTCTTGTTTAGCTGAAGAGCTGCAGATTGGACTGGCCCTGCTGAGGCACCTCCAGGGCTGGGACAGCTCTGGGCCCTCAGGTGGTGGGGATGAGGCACAGGTTGGACTCAGTGGTCTTTTCCAACCTAAATATCCTGGGATTCACTGATCTAGGAGGAAGCTGCAATACACTGATCCGATGGGGGGTTACGTTCCAAAGATGAGGTAAGAGCTGATTAAACAGCAATCCCAAACTCAGGTCCCAACAGAGGTAGCTCCTGAAGGAAGAGCAAAGAGCATTAATCAAGGTCGGACACGGAGCTGTCTGTGCCTGAGCTCATTGCAAAGCCATGGCTGTGGCTGCAGGGGCACACCTGTGAATGCTGCAGATCAATTCACACCAGGACTGACCAAACCAGGCACTGGCAGGAAATGAGGCACCTCACCAGAGACACCAGGCAAAATGAGAGTAATTAACTAACTGGTGAGTGAAGTCACAGTCACAGGAACAACACAGGACCACAGTGACAGTTCAGGGACCGCCGTATAAAATGGTGCATTTTTAGGCCTTCCTGAGGGAGGATTTTAGGGAAATTAAATCATAAAGAACAATCCAAAACTGGAATGGTTTTGTTTTGAAATTTTTAAAGAGCTCTCTGGTTTGGCAGACAGGAAAAAGCAGGAATTACCACTTTTATTCCTTACTAAGGACACGGACACCTAAAACCCTTCACATTTGGGATGCAAGTCAGCAGCAGAATCCATCTTCCCAGGAAGAGGCAAAGTTTGCCCAGTTCACTTTATCATGAACTCAGTTATTTTAGGACCTCCTTCTGCCTGGGGCCTGTCTCCAGGTTTTCAAAGGTTTTGTTACCACTTGAAGTGTTTACAGCTCTGAACACTAGGAATTCTGTGATTCTGTGTAATAATTGCATGAAGCGACTTATTTTTAAGTAAAACCCCAGTTTATTATAATGAAAATTCCACAAGCAAGAGGTTTTAGTTGGATGTTGGGTTTTTTTTTTAAAAGCCAGAACTTTGCCATTATAAATCACTAGAACAGAACATAAAGCAACATTCTCTTGCATCATGCCTCAGGGAAAAAAAAAGGCATAATAGTTCAAGGAAAATAATTCAGGGAAGTATCACATCAAGACTTTCTGCTTTTAGTAAGCTAAATAAATTTTGTATGTAGCACAACTCCTCTAGCTCATCCATAGACTTGACATGAAAAAAATCTAAATTCTTCATAGATAAATTACGAGCTTTTTTTTTTGTCACAATGCAGTAAACAGTTCTTCATCAAGAACAGATAAAGCCTTTAAGGTGAAAGCCTCAAGTACTGCACTAGCACTCAGTGACATCAAGATGCTAAGATACATTTACCTTCCATAGACAATTTATTCTTATGTTATTTAACCTAAACTGTAATCACACCAAACAGAGGCAGATGAAAAGTAGTTTCAGCGAGAAAAATACAAGAACATCAGCTTTCAAATATTTTAAATAAACAAATGCGCCATCTGCCATTTTAGTGGCAAAAAAGACTCTCTCCTGCAAGCAATTGAGTTTTTTATTCAGCTAAAATGTGCAAAGAAAAAAGTCTCAAATTGAGAGGAATATCAGCAGTTCATACTGGACATGAGGCAATAAAATCCTTAGGAATGAACTCTTTCAAGCCGTTTTCTTGTCATATACTGCAGTGGATCTCTCTGCAACACTTCCATTTGCAATGCCATTGCTTTCCAACTGCAAATAAAAAAGTGTCATTAATGAGATGTCAAATTACAACTTCACATCTAAAACAGGAACAGCTGGTGACAAAAATGGCTCTTAGAAGCAAGGCCAGTAAAGATCTATGAAGAAATCTGGAGCAAGACCCAAAAGTGGTGGTGTCTGTGTAGATTTACAAATAATTATTGCTTCAGGGATAAGGGAGGAATGAAGGGGGAAGGGAGGAATGAGGGCAGCAACAACATTTACAAGTCTTTGCATCGTGATAGAAGATAAATAATAAAAGCATGATTTATATGCACTAAGCATCCTCCCCCATTAGCAGAGCGGGCTGAAGAGAGGGGCTGTTTTTACTTTCTGCTTCATGCATCTTGTTGTGATTTGCCAAATATTTGACTTTTTTCTTCTCTGAAAGAACATCCAGTTTAAAAAAAAAAAAAAAAAAATTAATTAAGCTGTTTCAGGATACAGGCACAATTCCTCTTCCTCCAAGACTAGAAGAAGCAACTATTATACTAACTATGCCTTGAAGCACCAATTCCTAGCTGGCACAGTAGTGGTACTTGCTGTTTCTAAGAAAGCAGCCACTAAAATATCTGTAAACACACCCAGCTGTTCACCCTCCTGAGCCACCACTGGGTGGCTCATCCCGGAGCTTAGCTGGGTGAATTAATCTTACTTTAAGGCTTCCAGATCCATCCTCCTGGCCTCCTTTGGCAGGTCCCCGAGGGTCCCCAGTGCTGCCTCCTGGCCCCTGCTTGGTGCCTGGTGGCTCCTGCACAGCCCTCTTGGGCCAGAAGCGCTTGATGAAGGGGGCGATCATGGGGTAGATGTAGGGCTCCACAAACTTCTTGTAGACCCAGAGCAGAACAGGGATCACGATGCAGGGAATGCACACCATGGCTCCCTCCTGTGCTGGGACACAGATGGTGGGGGGGGGGAAAAACAGCTTAAGGTCGCAGCATTTGTACGCCACCAGCTGAAAAAACAGTATTTACATAGTAAATAAAAAACATATTTCACATTCAAACGTAGATTATTCTTTATAAAGTAGCTGCTAAGATTTCAAAAATGCTGTGTGCTCCCATGTTATAAAGCCTCCAACAAAGGGAACATTCTTGCATTTTAACCAAAAAAACCCAAAAAAACCAAAAACAATTTGCTATTAATTCATCAGTCCTACAAATGCAACTAAGGAAAACAAATTCAGGAAATAAGAGTTTTTGCTTAAGCCACACAAAAACAGTTTAAGCAGCAAGCTGCCAGTATTAGCCCAGTTCCCACTATGAGACTGAAGGGTTTGTTTTGCTCAATCCATTTTTATTTAAGGAGAAACTAAACAGCAGACAGCCAATCCATCCAATGGGCTGCTACCACTGAAGGGCAGGATAGTGGGAAAGGAGAAAAAAATTCCAATCAGGATTTAAGATAATTAGCATATGGGTTACTTTCTTCCTGCTGCCCTCACTTGATCCCACACCAACCCAATACAATTAACTGTTAGAAAATGAACCATGTCCTCTCTCTGAAACCCCACAAGTCCTGAAAATTTGCATCCTGGAGTCTTTGCTAAAAAAAAAAAAAAAAAAAGCAAAGCAAGGAGGCAGAGAGGTCCAGCTGGGAGAGGAAGCAGTTAATTAGGGCTAGACCTGTCCCTGTCAGTGCTGACAGCAATATATTAGACACACTCTGCTGCCACACAACTTTGCCCTTCACAGTCCCCCTCTCTAGGCTGCTGACATCTCAATTCTCACACCAAGAAGCAAAACAAAAGATTTCCAAGATGGAGAATGAAGAGGCAGATGTGCACACTTGCTAGGGACCAGTTTTGCTTTTTATTTTATGTTATCCTGAAAACTCCTAGCCCTGTGGAAAAGCAGAATATCAATTTCCAGCTGACTGTTCCTAGGTTCTGTTCTGGCTGCTTCAAATACAGTTTAAATCCACTCTCTGGAATCTGAGAGGAATGTGACATTAAGACAACACAAACGAGGTAACCCTTTAAACTTATTAAAGAAATATATTTTAGATACTGTCTCCACCAGAATTTCCTAAATATTAAGTTTCCAGCAAAATGTGCATTCATCCAGCAGCTGAAGAACATGGCTGGAGGGAACACCTCAGGTTGCAGAATCATTACAGAATTATGGAATTATTTGGGTCAGAAGAGAATCTCAAAATAATTTCCTTCTATTCCCTGCCATGGGCAGGGACACCTTCCACTGTCCCAGGCTGCTCCAAGCCCCGTCCAGCCTGGCCTTGGGCACTGCCAGGGATGCAGGGGCAGCCACAGCTGCTCTGGGCACCCTGTGCCAGGGCCTGCCCACCCTGCCAGCCAGCAATTCCTGCCCAAGATGCCAAAATCTGTGCCTGCCCTGTGGCAGTGGCAGCCATTGCCTGTGTGCTGTCCCTGGGAATCAGCACGTGTCGTGCTGCCTCTGCAGCCGCTTCGTGTCAGTATTCCTGCCCAAAAAATCATCGGTACCTGTGCCTGATGCACCAGCGATCCCTGGGGTCAGCCAAACACCGTCCTGACCGATTCCTGCTGTGACTCGGTGATGCTCCGCCAGCTGGCTAGCAAGGAAAACAAACAGGAGAGGAGAGGATGAGGAGGTGCCCGGGCAGTGCCTTCGGGCGGCAGGCGCTGCCGCTGCGCTCGGGGAGCCCCGGCGCGGGGCCGGCACGGGCACGGCTCGGCACGGCACGGCACGGCTTTGTTCCCAGCGCCCGCAAAATGCCACAAGGGCAAACCCGCCGCGTTTTCCCCGTTTTCCATAAAGGATGAGCTAGCCTAGGAGGCTGCCTAATGTCAGGCGCTGCCGTTCTGCTCTCCGGGGGCGGTTGGGGCCGGTGCAGCCCGTGAGGCCCCGGCTACCGGCGTGGCCAGGCAGGCGAGGGCCGTGCGGAGCGGGGAGGGGGGGCAGGGCGAGGCGGGATGTGGGGAAGGGATCGTTCCCGGCTCCCGGCGCTCCGCACCCACCTGCGCCCGCACCGGAACGGCCCCGCGCTTCCGGGGCGGCGCTTCCGGCCAATGGCAGGCGGCAGCGTACGTCACGTGACACGGCAGGCCCCGCCCCACCTGCGCGGACAGGAACGGGGACAGCGGCCCGATTCCCGATTATCCCGGATTTGGGATGGGGGGGCGGGGGGGTACTGTGGGACGGCTCGGCAGCCGGCGAGGACTCGCGGCCCAGCTTGGAGTCCAATATTGGGCAGGAATTGCTGGCTGGCAGGCTGGGCAGGCCCTGGCCCAGGGTGCCCAGAGCAGCTGTGGCTGCCCCTGGATCCCTGGCAGTGCCCAAGGCCAGGCTGGATGGGGCTTGGAGCAGCCTGGGACAGTGGAAGGTGTCCCTGCCATGGCAGGGGGTGGAACAGGATAATCTTTAAGGTCCCCTCCCACCCAAACCACTCCATGATTCTGTCACATTCACTGCCCCTGTCCCACAGCAATGCCGAGCACCAGGACAGAACTTGTAGCAAAGCAACACAATCAGTCCAAACTTTAAAATTTTATTTATATACATCTGTCCATGCAGATTTATTCCCGAGCCATTAGCTTTTGCTTCTTCAGCTTCTTCTGGGAGATCTGGGAAGCAAACACAAAAAAAAAGAAAACAGTGAAATGAGACTTCCCAAAACATCCCAAAGTTATCTTTTACATGTGCTGCAAACTGTTAGGAATTCCCTCACAAATGATACACTCATCTCACCTGCACAGGAACAGGAATCCCTACAAGCACTACACTGCTTGCAGGCTCTAAATTCAACTTGTTTTATTGTACAAACCCATGGTTCATGCGCACAGTCTGGGAATGCTGGAGCTGCTTTGAGGGAGCAAAGAACCAACGCTCTTGTGCAATTAAAAAATGGTTCTCAGGGCTTTTAAGTGCATAATACTTGTGTTGAAAATTTAAAAATGGGGTTGCTCAGAAAGAACTAATTTTTTTTTTCATGGGCATTCCAAAGGTGTCCTAAGAGAGTCATCACAGCAACCCCTCTCTCTGCCAGACCCTTGGACAGTGTTACAGGAACAGAGCACATGACATCTGGTACCTTTTTCTTCTGGGCAACTTCCTCCTCTGGCTTGGGCACGATCTGCTCCTTCTCCGTGAGGATCATCTCGATGTGGCACGGGGAGCTCATGTAGGGGTTGATCCTGCCGTGGGCCCGGTACGTGCGCCGGCGCATCTTGGGAGCCTTGTTCACCTGGATGTGCTCGATCACCAGGGAGTCCACATCGAGACCCTGGCAAGGAAGAAAATCTGTCAGCCACCTTCATCTTTAAATAATTCATTTCCACAGCAAGAACGTGAGTAATCGCCCCAGATACTGCTGCTGGTGAATGAAACAACCAGGCTTGGAGGTGCCATGGTGCTCAGGGTTTTTCCAAGGATTCACCATTGACACAGCCAGCCTTGGTGGTGCCATGGAGCTCAGGTTTTTTCCAAGGATTCACCACTGACACAGCCAGCCTTGGTGGTGCCATGGAGCTCAGGGTTTTCTAGGGATCTGCCAGTAAAACAGCTGAGCTTGGCACTGTCTTGGAGATGAGGACTTACCAAAGCAAGCGTCATTTAAAATGACCAAGATGAGCCTCCACACACCACAAATAATTTAAAATTGTGCTGATGGCTCATTGTCTATGGTTATTTCATGGTTACTAAAAGGTGCCACCTATCACTCCAACACTGCCAACAAAGCTACCAAATTCAGCACTGTAACAAAGTCTGACCAAGAGTCTGCAGATTTCAATTTCACAGATTTTGAGATATCTGAACAGCCCTTTTGTGTGAAATTATAGCCAGTCCAGGAGTGCTGACAGAGAGCATGACACCACTGCTTTGTGCTCAGTAATACCCACCTTGAGCTCAGCGTTGCTCTCTGCATTCTTCAGCATGTGCAGCAAGAACTCTGCGCTCTTCTTGGGCCAGCGGCCCTGCGTCCAGCCCCACTGCTTGGCCTGGAATGAGGGGAAACAATGGGAGTCCTGCTTTTGGCCTGCTCCATTCCAGTTACCTTCTACACACCTTTAACTTGCCTTTGTCACAGAATAGTTTGGTTTGGAAGGGCCCTGTATCTTATGGATTAGAATGGATTACAGTATATTCTATTCTGCTGTACACTAAACCCCAGGAAATTTAATCCCTTGACTTGATGCTGCTGACTAGAAGCAGGCAGTCCACACAGAAGCATCTCCTGGGACTGGAGTGCGATGAGCTCTGGGGTCCCTTCCAACCCAAACCACTTTGATTCTGTGTTTTAATGCAAGTTTACCCCCAGCAACGATACCCACGCCATCTGTACATCAGCTTTTTGCCTTCAGCACCCACAGCCAAAGGCTGCTCCCCGTGTTTCCCAGGAGCTCACCTGGGCGCACCTGCCGACGCCGCCGTTGTAGCGCCGGAAGGGGACACACTGCTTCTTCAGGGTGACATCCTTCAGGTACTTGGTGGCCTTGCGGATGTGCATGCCCTTGATGGCCTGCGCCGTCTCTCGGGTGTTCTGTACACAGGGCACACAAAAGACCCTCTGAACAAACCCTTCCAAGAGACAGCACGAGCTCAACCACTCCTCTGTGCTCCCGGATACAATTATTTTGGCAACAAAGGAAGCACTTACTAAAGAATACCCCAAGACTAAGAATGAAAAATAATTAACTTTTTTTCTTTATTACAACTTTTCCAACCCTTGGTATGACTGCCACTACTAAATCTCTGTCTCCAGCACATTTTTTTTTTTTTAATTTAGTGGCTAAACCCAATAAGGAAATTTGTAACTCTTAATAAAATTGCAATTTAAGGAGTTATACTTTTCAGAGCTTCCCTTTGGCCACTAATCTAAAAAGGCAAGATCTGTATGGACAAATTCTTACTAAAATCTCAAATACAGCACCTCACAGGAACTGATTTAGAAACACTCTAACAATTGTTAACAATGTTGTTTCCTCTAAAAGAATTGTAAGAGAAGGAAAGTCTCAAAAAAAAAAAGCTAAAGATAAAAGATCAGTGTTCTAGACAGTATTTACTAATTGTGTAAGCCAGCTCTAACTATAATCCTACCTGTTCATAATCAAAAAAAAAGAAAACCAGAGTGAAAGCTTTGTATTACACTAAGCAGAAAATAATCTGCTAAGCTCTGGTTTCATGATTAAATAACTCTTCTGAATTTTCTCTGCACCTAAGCCTTTCCAGAGAAACTGAGGTTCTTGTGCCGAACACCACACAACCAAGAACTTTCACCAAACACTAGCCCAGTGTCTGATAAATTTACTCCAACTGTTTTGCTGCTGTATTTTCTTATCTGAATCAGACAAAGACAGTTTTTAATTTTTTTGTGGATGGAGACCATTACAAGGAGTTGACAACAATCCTTTAGTGATTAAAGAGTAAAAGACATTTCCTTAAAAGAGGGATATTGGGTAGCAATTCCTGGCTGTGAGGGCGAGGAGGCCCTGGCACAGGATGCCCAGACAAGCTGCGGCTGCCCCTCGATCCCTGGAAGTTTCCAGGGCCACGTTGGACAGAAGCTTAGTCCCTAACCACGGCAGAGGATGGAAAGAGATTATCCTTACAATCCCTTTCAACTCCAGCCAGTCTGGGCTTCTTTTAAAAAAATAACAAGAAAAACTGACAAAAACGACGTCAAACAGAAAATTAATTTGCAAGTCCTCCTAATCACGCGCTCCTTACCTTGAAATGCACACGCAGGTTGGATCCCCGTGACTTGCATGCTGCAAGAGAGGAAAAAAACAAACCAAGTTTTAGAATCAAAACCTCAATGGCTTCCAGGAAATCCCACACGAACTCTCCTAAAACAGCAACTCACATTTCGTGGGGTTCTCCGGATCCAGGGAGTAGCGCACCATCTTGAGAGCTCAGCTGAAAAACACCAATTAAAACATATTAAAATTCTAACAATGGCACGCAGGACCTGGAATACTCCCCTTACCGCCGCAGCTGCTCAGGAATTACGCGTTCTTTTCACAGTTACATCCAAAGGTGTCCTAAGAAAGTCATCATCGCAGCCATGGATTATTCTCAGGCCTGCTCCTTCCCCGCATCCGCGCCCCCCCCTCCGGTGCGCCATCCCGGGGAATACCGCGGGCGCGGGGCATGTCGAAGCGATCCCGGCGTCCGGGACGCCGGTGCCGGCGGGGTTGGGGTGGGATGGGGGCGGATGGCGACGGATGGCGCGGGAGCGGCCCGACCATGTCTCCTCACCTCGGGGCGGCGGCCGCAGAGGAAGAGGAAAGGCGGGGCGCGCCGCCAGCGCACGCACGTCTCGCGAGAGTTCCGACGGGGGCGGCCCCGCGGCCGCTCCGCCCCCAAGATGGCGGGCGGTCTGGCTGTGAGGGTGGTGTGCGCACGGAGCGGCTCCCTCGCTGAGCCTGTGAATAAAACCTGCTGTGGGGAAAGACATCGCGGTATTTACGCTGCCGTTGGGAAACACACCGCGGTATGCACCCTCAGCTCAAGGTGCAGGTGCTTATAGTGAGGAAATCAGCGTGCATCTGGCATAGCACCAGCGCCCGCCCGAGGGAGGGGATTGCCCCGCGCCGATCCGCGCTGATCACCTTGAACGCTGTGAGCAGTCTTGGTCACTGCAATATAAGAAAGATATTAAACTTAGTGCCAAAAGGATGGCTGCGGAAGTGGTGAAGGGCCTTGAGGGGAAGCCGTATGAGCGGCCGCTGAGAGCACCTGGTCTGTTCAGCTGGAGGGAGGCGAGATTTATCGCAGCTAAAACTTCCTCGTGAGGGAAGAGGAAGGTCAGGCATTGACTTCTTCTCTCTGGTGACCACTGGCAGCACCCAGGGCACGGCTGGAGCTGTGCCAGGGAGGTTTAGGTTGGAGATCAGGGAAAGGCTCTCCCCCAGAGGGTGCTGGCACTGCCCAGGCTCCCCAGGGAATGGGCACAGCCCCGAGGCTGCCAGAGCTCCAGGAGCCTT